CAGTTCAAATTGATACAGGCCGTTCGACGCAACAATCCATGCATGCATGGTGTGAAGGGACGAGCACCAAAACCCCACACAATGACATCAAATGGACAAGTAGCATGAAGGGAGGAATAGAGTAGGCGAGATATATAGAATGAAAACCCCGAGCGCGCATTGGGCAATTTGGGCTGCTGTAATCTTGATCAACAGAGCCAGAAAGGTGGAATACAGGCAGGCGGAGAGGCCCATAGTCGTGTGGTCCTGTGTGGAAGAACAGTCTATCCAGCACCTGACACGTGGCTCGGCCAATTCGCAGGTACCGGCCATCATTAGAGTGTACGTACTCATTAAGTGAAAGTGAAAGCAACGGCATGGAGCGGCAAAGCACTTCTACAAGTGTTTTGGGAAGCCTGAACATGTCCAAGGAAACTCACAACTTCAAAGCATCACGTGCACTGCAGGCACGCGAGACATCCATCGCAAACAGCCCACGATCGACGCATAAGCGAGAGACATCCTCCGCATACCTATAGATTATGCACAATACATCCTTTGAATTTTGAAACAATCACACACACACAACACCCGCAAACAACAGTCTAGGATTGACGTCAACATCATTTAGCACCACGTCGTTAAGATATACATGCAGTACAATTATAGAAAACCATACGCACGGACTCGACAGAGATCAAATAATATCCATTTTAATTACCGTTGTCGTAAAGAAATCGACAAGAAGAGAAAACGGTCTGAGACTCGCAGGGTTTGATCATCTCCAGTAGCGTCACTACCGATTGATCTCGTCCAGTCAGCTTCAACTTCAACTGTTCTTCGATTGAGCTCAGTCTGTGACTCGAGATCAATCAGCTTCAACTTCAACTGTTCTTCGATTGAGCTCAGTCTGTGACGTGGCTTGTTTAATGAAAATGATTCACGTCAATGAAATACAAACACGAGGCCGCATCCTCTTGCGATCGCCGAAAACCCGCCGTGCAGTGGTGATGATACAGAAATAGCCGATCTAACAAGAAGGCGAGGATAAGGAAATAAGACTGTGCACTAGTTGCTACCTAGTCAA